ATTGAACGTTACGTAGATTAAATACAACAATACGTTAACGTTACGTAGCTTAAGTACATCAATAATTGAACGTTACGTAGATTAAATACAACAATAGTTGAACGTTACGTAGATTAAGTACAATAGTCGAACGTTACGTAGATCAAGTACAACAATACGTTAACGTTACGTAGATTAAGTACAACAATAATTGAACGCTACGTAGATTAAATACAACAATACTTTAACGTTACATAGACTAAATACAACAATAGTTAAACGTTACGTAGATTAAGTACAACAATAGTTGAACGTTACGTAGATTAAGTACAATAGTCGAACGTTACGTAGATCAAGTACAACAATACGTTAACGTTACGTAGATTAAGTACAACAATAATTGAACGCTACGTAGATTAAATACAACAATACTTTAACGTTACATAGACTAAATACAACAATAGTTTAACGTTACGTAGATTAAGTACAACAATAATTGAACGCTACGTAGATTAAATACAACAATACTTTAACGTTACATAGACTAAATACAACAATAGTTAAACGTTACGTAGATTAAGTACAACAATAGTTGAACGTTACGTAGATTAAGTACAACAAAAGTTTAAAGATACGTAGATTAAGTACAACAATAGTTGAACGTTACGTAGATTAAGTACAACAATACTTTAACGTTACATAGATTAAGTACAACAATAGTTGAACGTTACGTAGGTTATTGCAGATACAAAAGAGTTGGTTCTTCATAAAAATCACTCTGCAAGAGGAAAGACATTCACTGCCTTTATTAATAGGATATATGTCTTCATAATGAGCCAACCCAGCTGCTGTAGTTCCTGGAATAAAACCAGGTGTATAATTAATTTGTGTTGTGGAACCTAAAAAAAATAAAAGAAAAATAAAACAATATTTACTTGAATATTTCAATACTTCTGCTTTCTGGTTTCTCGTCTTTAACAGCATTTTTTTGAGAAAAATTTCTGGTATTATTTGTACTGACGAACGAATTAAACAAACCACTAGTAAATAATTACATTTTAATGGTGTGGTTTATAATATTCTCACTTTTTAATTTAATAAACACACCGGCCTGTTTAATTAAACATTAAACATCTTCTAACTCTCTTCGTCATGTTTCAATCCTCATTAGTGTGCTTTAATTCTCTTTATGAGTTTTAACCCCTCTCTGTTGCGTATTAATTCTCATTGGTGTGTTTTAACCAATTTGTGTTGTGTTTCAACTGTCACTGGCGTGTTTTAGTTTTCTTTGTGTGTTTTAACACCTCTTTGTTGTTTTTCAACTACCACTTGTGTTTTAATTTTCTTTTTGTGTTTTGACACATCTTTGTTGTGTTTTAACCTCTTCCTGTTGTGTTTTGACACATCTTTGTTGTGTTTTAATTTTCTTTGTGTATTTTAACACCTCTTTGTTGTGTTTTAATTTTCTTTATGTGTTTTAACACCTCTTTGTTGTGTTTCAACTACCCCTGTTGTGTTTTAATTTTCTTTGTGTGTTTTGACACCTCTTTGTTGTATTTTAACTCCTTACTGTTGTGTTTCAATTTTCTTTGTGTGTTTTAACACCTCTTTGTTGTGTTTCAACTATCACTGTTGTGTTTAAACACCTCTATGTTGTGTTTTAATTTTCTTTGTTTGTTTTAACTCTCTAATTTTAGTTCTCTCTGTTGTATTTCCAATGTTTGTTAAAAATAACACTTTTTTTTTTATTCTAAAAACATTTATTTTAGAAACAAGATTTACTTTCTCTAGTCATGTCTACCTTCGAAAAAGAGGATAAAATTTCCTTGGAGAAAAAACAAACAAACAAATACATTTTAGATTGCTCACGATTTAACAATATTGTTTAAACGACGGATTTGTACATTCCGGCTAAAAGAACAGACAACAAAAACTTAGAAATACTCTACAAGACTTACCTGCTTCAGTCTTGTTCACCTGAGAGTCATTCGAGTGACTACAGTCACACTTATAACACCCAACATTAAATTCTATTACAGCACATGTCTTTGGACAGTCGTTGGGAGATCCTAGACAGTCTGGATCAAACGGAAGCTTGTCTTGAGGTACAGGTGATGAGTGGACATTATCTGGTGATGGATGATGAGGAGAAGATAAAAAACAGTGTTAACTAACACCTACGATATTCAAAAGCTCTTAGGATGAACAGAAAAAGTTAACAGTACCTTTTA